CTACCACTGCCACTCCTCAAAAAGAAAGTAAAAAACCCATCTCAGACCAGTCTAGATTATCTCCTCTGCTATACTGTAAGCAATCTGTATGATATTTTTATCATTATATTTCAAGTATCTGGCATAGAGGTATGGAGCAGGTACTCAGTACACATGTGATGAGTCAGTACCATGCTGTGGAACATATCTTAGGAGTGTAGTATGTGTAAGAAGTAATCTTTTGGCCGGGGACAGTGGCTCAAGCCTGTAATCCCAGCACTTCAGGAGGCTGAGGCAAGAGGATTGACTGAGTTCAGGGGTTCGAGACCAGCGTGGGCAACTTGGTGATACCTCATCTCTTCAATAAATCAAAAAATAAGCTGGGCATGGTGGTGTGTGCCTGTAGTTACAGCTATTTGGAAGGCTGAGGAGGAAGAATCACTTGAGCCTATCAGGTCGAGGCTGTAGTGGCCATGAGTGTGTCACTGTACTCCAGCCTAGGTGACAGTGAGACTCCAACTAAAAAAAACAAGAAACAACAACAAAAGGTAATCTTTCTATTATATTTAACTGCGGTAAGACTATACTCCAAGAATGGAATAATAACATTAGTAGTTGTTGTATTTGTAGTATTTGCGGCTATAGCAGGACTTCCCCTCCCTTATTGGAGACAGTGTATCTTTCCTATTTAACTCTGTTAATGTCTACTACTTGGTCTGTGTTATTTTTTTCCTTATATTCTACCATCTGTGATTTAGCAAACAGAATCAGCAGAGTGGAAAGTTTCTTTAATGACAATGCAATACTTATTAAGTGCTCGATATGTGTCAGACTCAGTTTAAACATTTTTCATGGATTCACTCATTTAATCCTCACAGCAACCCAATGAGGTAGACATCATCATATTTATTTTACAGATGAAGAAACTGAGACAGAGAGAGAAGGATTTGAACCAAGGCAATATGGCTCTGAGTCTATGTTCTCAATCATAGTGTCTCTACCATCTTTGATTGTTGCACTTTCAGGAAAATGCTTTTTTAAAAAATTCCCCACAATAATGCTTTACATAGGAGGGGACAATTTTAGTTAAATACATTTAATCGCTCTTTAAAATATTTTGTAGCCAGCTCTTTTGCCTTCAATCCTAAATATTTGTGCTCCTTTTGAAATTATCTTCCCTATTCATATGGATCGTACTTTGAAGTCATGCTGCAGATTTCACTATACTTTAATAAAACAAATGCAAACCCCACACTAGAGACTACTTTATTCTTCTACCTATCAACCACACAAGCTTTCCATATTTCTCCAGCAAGCTGTTCTTCTTTTGTTAATTGTAAGTCTGTGTTTTCAGCTTCTTCAGGAGCTTATCCTGGAATCTGCTTCTTCATGGACTTGCTATGCTTATGCAATTTCTCACTTCACTTATCAGAACAATAGTTCCTGGCCAGCCTGGTGGCTCAAGTCTGCAATTCCAGCACTTTGGGAGGTGGAGATGAAAGGATTGCCTTAGCTCAAGGGTTTGAGACCAGCCTGAGCAACATGATGAGACCTTGTTTCTACAATAAATAAATAAAAACTTAGCCAGGCACGGTGGTTCCAGCTACTTGGAAGACTGAGGCAGAAGGATCACCTGAACCCAGTAGGTCAAAGCTGTGGTGGCCATGAGTGTACCACTGCCCTCCAGCCTGGGAGACAGAGTGAGACTCCGACTCAAAATAGCTCCTGAAATCTCAGCATCTCCAGAAGGCCCCTCTGATTACAAGCTCCACTTAAATAAAAAAGGGCCTTAGTACACAAACAAAAACCCATGACTTATTCATGTCTAGCACTGTTAGGGGCTTTGAAAAAACACCAGCTGAAGAGTGTCCCTGCCCATAAAAAGTCTATGATCCAATCAGTCCTCATAATCAATAGACACTTATTAAAATTTTTAGATCAAATCCTACTTGACAATTATTCTTAACCAAAAACATATAAAGCCATTTTTAACAAAGACTACAACCTAATATAATTATTTCATTTGATATAAACAAAGACAAGTATAACAAAAGAATGTGAAAAATCCTAAATTAACAGTTACAGGGTTTGTTGTGTATTTTGCACATATGACTTTCAGAACACGGGGAAGGGTTGGGGAAAGGAGGAAAATGCATAAAAATTTGTTGAGCCTGAGCAATGCATTAGCACTGAGCCAGAGCCTTCAGACATATTATTTGGAGTCTCACTGCTACTCATGATGACATTTCTATTTTACAAATAAAGAAATAAAGGCCAAAAAGGGTGGGGCACGGTAGCTCACACCTGTAATTCCAGCACTTCGCGAGGCCAAGGAGAGAGGACTGCCTGAGCACAGGGGTTTGTGACCAGCCTGGGCAATATGGTGAAACCTTGTCTCTACAATAAATCAAAAAATTAGCCAGTGTGATGGCATGCATCTATAGTTCTAGCTACTTGGAAGGCTGAGGTGAAAGGATTGCCTGAGCCCAGCAGATCGGGGCTGTGGTGGCCGTGAGCATGCCACTGCACTCCAGCCTGGGTAACAGAGTGAGACTACAACTCAAAAATAAATAAATACATACATACATAAGTAAATACATAAATGTCAAGAAGGATAGTGAACATGGTCAAGGTCACATGGTGGAACTAGTATTGAAAACCACTATTTCTGGTTCTTAAGCCACTGTGGATTGAATCCACAAACATCCTCCTAATTCAGGCATCTCTGTCTTATTCAAATTAATTTTTCAGATTAAAGTTCTCAGGGAACAATAAATTACCATGTTTGAGAAACACTACCTAATTCAGGACCACTAGCTTCAAATCTAATGTGAAGTAGTTTAGAAGAAAAAAAAAGGGGAATTTATTAGCACCATAACTAAATGAGAACTAAATTAATGAAGGGCAGGGATGTAGCTGCTTCCAGATTATTGGAATGTCAGCAGAACAGTCACTGTCATCTTCATTTAGATCTCATTTTGGGTCAGATTCTATACTGAGCCCACAGCTTTTTACACTTAAGAAGAAACAGTTGCTACCTAACATCTCATAGCTTCACCACTGAAGAAAAACACCTCCTCCCTCATTCCACTCTGAAAATCCCCAGCAAAGCCTCTGGCCTGGCTTGAGTCATCTGCCCACTCTGCTGAGCAGCAGGCCCCGTGCTGTGACTGATTAGTCCTTCTGAAACATGGTTAGGGCTGAGAGAGGACCAGGTCTCCACAGCAGAGCATTATTCCCAGAAAAAAGAGAAATTGCAGAGCACATCAACAACAAAAATGACTGCTTATGTAAAGATTAACTTCCTCAAAAGAAAAGTGTCATGTGGCAGTGTCCAGGATGCAGGCACTTCAGGGTCCCTACTGTACCACGTTCTAGGCTGAAGGTGGTTATTTGTTTCTCTCTTCTTAGGCATTACCCTCCAAAATTTAGTAGCCTATAGACCTATTCACAGATCCCCAAATGGAAACAATACACCATCTAGAAAAAACCACTTTATCTTTTCATTCTACTATGATGAAGAGGACACACGGGATTGACACTGCTCTGTAACGCTGGCATGCTGAAGCTCTGCTGACATGTTAAGGAGGGCAGGTTGGAAGAGCCTGTTCACTGCTATGATTCTATTCTTCTTTCAAAGAGCACACCACCTCTAGGTAACAGTTACAACAGACAAGGATCACTCTTTATCCTCCTTGAGGAGCATGATGTTTTGCTATTTATTTATTTCTATGTAATGAACCTACCATCTCCTGTTACTTCACTAAGTTCTATGGTTATCTGCCAAAGCACAGGAGTTAAACAAGCAAGAACAGCTTTTGGAAAACCACCAAGTTTAAAAAAAAATACCATATGGTACTACAACTGTAGCACAACTATCATGTTACATATTAACAATGAAGTTTCTCTAACTTCTAGGAAGTACATTTTTTTTACTTTATTAATCATTTGCAGTTAAATAACTTGTTAATGTAAAAAAAAGTCCTATCAACAGACACACATGCCCCAATTTATATTTCTAGCAGTTCAACATAGCCATTTGTGGTATAAGACTTATTTAATGAAATATATCTCAGGAAGGATTTACCACAAACTCATTCTCATACTTTCACCACTAGACAGTGTGTAGCAACATGCAGAGGAAGTCAGGTATCTCTCTAGCTCTAGAAAAGGAAAGAATTGTAAAATGAGACAACTAACAAATTGACTAGCTGATAATATTGCTCAGTTTAGCATCATTATGTTGAAAAAGCAGTCTTATAAGTCAACAGAAATATAATATTTTATTTTTAAAACTTTGTCACAATGCATCTCTCCTTTCTTATTCATTAAACTTAGAGAAGTTGTTTCTGCTTTATATACATGTTTAGACTTGTATTTAAGAAAGATGAGAAAAGATGGCAGCTTAAATGCTTCAAGTTACTGTTCCCAGAGAGATGAATGAAATATGTGACACAATGTCATTTCCTGACCTGTTTACATGGTCATTAAGTGAAAGTTGTTTTCAAAAATGGACACAAATACATTGCTATAGAAGACAGGCTGGCACTCATGTATTTCCACCAGACAGGAAAAGATATAGTGGGTTGCCCCTTTTATAGTAATTCCCTGAGAAGTTCCTTTTATAGTAATTCCCTGGGAAGTTCCAGGGGTATTGCATCCTGCCAAAAATAAACACAATCATCATCAGCCCAAAAGCTTAAGCAAAGAAAAACTATCAAACCTTTACACTCTGTAGCAAATGCTTCTTCTTTCTCTATGGATCTGGCATCTAACGCACTACCCTGCTGTTGTCTCTAAGGAAACAGAACAATCACATGACAAAAGATCTTCTCTATAAGGTAGTCTACCCCCCAGAGCATTTTGGGAAAGAGCAGGTACAAGACAACTCATTAGAAGGCAAACATACATCTCCACCAGCAAGTCCATCAAGCAGTCAAATGCAGCCAATGACAGGAAGGCAGCTGTAGCACACAGAGTAGGTACCACTCCTTGGAAGCTTAAAAATGAGACACACACACTTGCAATAGAATCCAAGTCCTGCGGTAAATCAGTAGTCCAGTTAACCCAGTCAGCAGTTCCATTCTGATGAGGACTTAAGGGAGCACTCCCACCTCCTCTCCAAGGGCCTCTTCTAATTGCCAACTGCTTGATAAGAAAGTAGCCTGCAACTAACTGTGTCTGCCAAGCAATCTAGGTAGGGAGGTAGCAAGTACCAGTAACGCTCTATTTTTTGTTTTGCTGAAGAGGAGTTAACAGGAATGCAAGCAGAGTGAAAAAATAGGACAATGGTGTCTCTCCAATGCATTGATGCAAAGAGCTCCTTAATTCATAAAGGCAGCTCATCACGGGGCAGCTGAAACAAAAGGGCTCTGAAGTGTGAGCTGCTGAGCAAGCTTTGAGACACCTCTAGCAGAACAGTCCTGTGATGACTTTATTTCATCTAGTTAACAATTCTTAAGTTGGTGTTCCCGGTTTTCATCCCAGTTGCCAGTACTGCATTTCAGCCCTCCTTTGGCTAGTGATACTTAAAGAGTATTAAGTTTTCTACTGGTTCATGGGTGTCCAGAGAACCTTTCTATTGTTACTTATTTGATTTCTCATTGCTCTCATCAGGTCACTATTCTGCTCATCAGGTCACCATTAAGCACAGCTCTCATCAGGTCACCATTCTGCTCCCAAATCTCTACCAGTCTCCCAAATTAGGACAGAAATCTTCCTCTGAGCAGGCACTGCCCAGACAGCATAGCCTCAGTCTCCCAGTCTGTTTTAATTTTCATCACTATCTTACACTTCTTAAGTATTCCAGGCTAATATGCCAGTTTGTTCAAACACAAGTCTTGAAATTTTCTGCCATGATAAAATAAAAACAAGACAAAATTATAAAAGCAACACAAGTGTTTATACTAAAAATAGAGGAAGTCAAAATTTATTATTATTTTAAGAGACTTGCTCTGTTGCCCAAGCTGGAGGGTAGTGGCACAATCATAGCTCACTGTAACCTCAAACTCCTGGGCTCAAGGGATCCTCCCACTTCAGTCTCCTGAGTAGCTGGGATCGCAGGTGTGCACCACCACATCTGGCTAATTTTGTTATTCTCTGCAGAAATAGGGTCTCACTATGTTTACCGGCTGTTTTCAAACTTTTGGCCTCATGCAATCCTCCCACCTCAGCCTTCCAAAGCACTGGGATTACAGATGTGAGCGACTGCAATCAGCGCTATTACTTAAATAAATGAAGAGGTGAGAAAAGTCAACAAATCAGACAGCATCATAACTAGTGTTATTGTTAATAGAAACACTTCAATATCAAAAATAAAAGCCTAAAAATAAAATGGATGCATGTGTTAGAATATTTGGCAGAAAATGAAAAAGTTGATTCATATATCATATGATATACCAAAAATGTAATAAAAACAAGTAACAAGCCAGGCTCGGTGGCTCAGTCTGTAATCCCTCGCCTGGGGAGGCTGAGGTGAGTGGATTGCCTGAGTCCGTAGGTTCGAGACCTGCCTGGGCAACTTGGCAAGACCTCATCTCTACAATAAATCAAAAAAATTAGCCGAGCATGGTAGTGCACGCCTGTAGTTCCAGCTACCTGGAAGGCTGAGGCGGAAGGATCACTGGAGTCCAGCAGGTCGAGGCTGCGGTAGCTGGGAGCGGCCACTGCACTCCAGTCTGGGCGACAGAGTGAGACTCCAACTCAGGAAAAAAAAAAAAACACAAGTAACAGTGGGATAATATCTTTCAACGCTACAAACTAAGGAGATACAAGAGGGGCATAGCGAAGAATGTGTGCAATAAAATAATGGGTAAAACTAATTACAAGAAAAACCATTAATATGAGATTGAAATAGCATATTTTTATAATCAAACATACCAAGAGGGAAAAAAGGGCAGTGGAGACTGGAAAGAACACAAGTTTGGGAGAATTGGGTTCTTGCTCCAATTTGGGTCCTAAGCAGATGATGCGACCTGCATGACTCCGGACAATAAAGCCCTTTGTGCCTCAGTTAATTGGTCTGTAAAATGATGAGAGCTAGTTCTAGAGCAGTGATTTTCGCATGTTGCTCTCTGAGCATCTGAGGATGCTACAAGGTGTTTCAGGGACCACAGTGGGCAGCAAGGGGGAACAGACAGGGGTATTAGGCCCCAACCTCATTCCAGCTAGAGTAGTTCCCCTTCTATCTCCATAAGACTTCATATGAACAAACTGTTCCACCGCTTTAAAAATAGGTCTGAAAACCCCTTTCCTGACTATAAAATTTAAATTATAAGTCCCTGCTATATTCACAGTATCCTTCATCCTTATCACAATTTGCAACCACCTATAATCAGTGCTGACTGGTTTCACTCAAGAGCTTATAAGCTTCCGAAGAGCAGGGACTACAGGGTTTGCTTCACCTTTGTATTCACTGTATTCACACTGTGTACCTAAAACCATGACTGGAACACAGTGGGTGCTCAACAAATATTCATTCAATAATGAATAAGTCTCTTTCAAAGCTGAGCTGTTATGATTCCACTTACCATTCTAATCTACTGCAAACAATGTAGTAGTTGAAACCCAAAAGTGCTAATTGGTGAAGGACTCACCTGAACTGAATTTTAAAATGGAAATGATGCTCAGACAGGGAATTCAAAGAAGGTTAGTAGATGACAGGCTATTTGGGATGGCAAAAATTCTTGAGGGGGGAATTTACACTCCTACGGGGAAAAATGAAAAAAGAAAATCTTCAGTGGGAGGAGTAATGATGACTAAGGAGGAGCACACCTGAACACCTGGAGCAAGCGGTACTCCTCAGCTGCACTAAACACAGCAGGCCATTATGCTGTTCAGTCATTCTTGTCATTTAACTTCTGGGGCAAAGAATCTAAAAGAAATGTTAAATGCCCAAAAACATTAGGGTATTTGTCCAGGAGGGTGAGGAGAGGAGGAAACCACACACCATTTCGTTAAAATGTGTATCAAAGTCTCTATTGAAAAGGTCACACAGAGACCTTGAGATACTGAGCCATGACAGTGAACTACAGAGCAGCTAGAAGTAGCCCAGGGACTTCTCTGGTCAACAAGGTGGACTGAGCACATGCTGAGAGCTCACCCTCTTGTACCAAAGAAAAATGATTTAAAAATATAAAAACAGTCCACACACAAGGACTGCAGGCCATTTTTGAGGAGGCTGGAAGAACTTAGCTCTACCCCCAACAAACTCTCCAAAAAACAGAGAAAACAAAGCATCCAAAAAGGTCCTTATAATGAGCATTTTTAACATCCTCACTTTATTATAAGGTTACAATAATCAAAACAGTCTGGTATTGGTAAAAAACAAACAAACAAACAAACAAAAACTGGCATATAGACCAATGGAACAGGACAGAGATTCCAGAAGCAAAACCTCAATTTCTCAGCCAACTCATCTTTGACAAAGCCACTAACAACTACTGGGGAGAGGAGAACTTATTCAGTAAAAGGTGCTGGGAAAACTGGCTGACCACATCCAGAAGAATGAAACAGGACCCCTACCTGTCACCATACACAGAAATGAACTCTAAATGGATCAAAGACATAAACGTAAAACCTCAAACTATAAGAACCTTAGAAAATGCAGGAAACACCCTTATGGAAACTGGAACTGGAAACTAATTCCTGATAAACCCCAAATGCCCAAGCCATAAGAGATAAGACAAGTGGGATCTCAACAAACTGAAAAGCTTCTGCAAAGCAAACGAAACTATCAAGAGAGTGGGGACACAGCCCACAGAACGGGAGAAAGTATTTGCCACTGTTAGTGGGAGTGTAAACTAGTACAGCCTCTGTGGAAAAACACTGTAGTGATTTGGGTTTTTTATTATTATTTATTTTAAATATGTGGGTACAATTCAGGGTTAAGTATACAAATGTTCATTATGCAGGTATATCCTTGTTGATGAGGTGTACTCCCTCCTTCCCTGCCAATCCTGCCCCTGCCCTCCCCTGGCAGTTTCCCACTATTCCCAATCCCTTTCTTATAGTATTATGATAGTTGTTCAAGGTCCACTTATGATTGAGAACATGTGATACTTGGTTCTTTGTTTCTGTGATAGATCACTCAGTATTACAGCTTCTAAGTTCATCCAAGTTGCTGCAAAGTTCATAATTTTGTCCTTCTTTGGGAATCACCACACTGTTTTCCACAGAGGCTGATTCTTAAAAGATCTAAAAACTGATCTTCCATATGGCCCAGCAATTCCCCTTCTGGGAATATACTAATCACCCTATGAAAAAGATACCTGTACATGCATGTTTATTGCAGCATTATTCACAAAAGTAAAAACATGGAACCAATCATGCTGCCCATCGAAAGTGGACTGGATAAAAAAAAAGTGGTACTATATATATGATGGAATATTATGCAGTCATAAGGAAGACACAATTACAAACTTCACAGCAACTTGGATGGATTTAGAGTCTATAATACTCAGTGATCTATCACAGAAACAAAGAACTGAGTACCACTTGTTCTCATTCATAAGTGGACCTGAACAATTATCATAATACTCTAAAAAAGGGATTGGCAGTAGTGGGAATTGCCAGGGAAGGATAGGAGCCACACTTCATCAATAAGGGTAACTGATCTTAAACCAGGTGAAGTGGGAACCAAAGTGAGGCCCAAACTTTACCTGTGCAATGACCACTTGTACATCTAATCCTGAATTGTTCCCCATATCCTTAAAATAAAATTAAAAAATAAAAAGGAAAAACAAAAACAAAATCTCCAGACACCTAGAGAATAAAACAGCATCTATAAAATGTTCTAAAAAACAACCAGAGACTTTAAAAATGAAAGATAATAACTGAGACAAAAAAAAAATACTAAATACAGCTAAAGACTGATGGAACATTAACCAAAAAAACTAGATCCAGATGTTTTAAAGACTGTATAAGGAGACTCCCCAAAAATCTGAAATTAATTTATAAAAAATTGTGTGTTCTTACATGTTTAAACTTCAGTCACCTTCAAAGTTTCTTCATTTGATGTAATATACCTATCGAGACACTTTTCCACTGCTCAAAACAGTTTTTGAACTTGGCAATTTTGATGCCTTTCAGTGCTTTTGCTGTTTTTTGTTTCATATCTTCCACACTGGCAAGACATTTCCCTTTGAAAGCTTAAGATCAGGTGAATAGGGAGGGTGGGGTATGGGGGTTATTCTGTTTTTGTTCCAAAACTGCTAAGCACTCAACGCAGTGTAAGCAGATGCACTGTCATGGTGGAAGAACCAGTCACCTGTTTGCCACAACTTATGACGTTTCTTCCGCACATCATGATGCAACCTTCTCAAAACTTCCAGATAAAAACTTGGGTTGACTATTTGATCCAGAA